GGCAAGAGGAACACTCCTCCACTGCTGGAGGCAGTGCCAACTTGTACAGCCAATTTGAAAATCAGTACTGTGACTCCTCAAGAAAATGGCAATCAGTCTACCACAAGATCCAGCAATTCCACTCTTAGGCATATACCCAAAAGAAGCACATTCATACAACAAGGACATATGTTCAACGATGTTCATAGTAGCACTATTTGTAATAGCCTGAAATTGGAAGCAACCTAGATATCCCTCAACCAAAGAATGGATAGAGAAAATGTGGTACATTTACATAATGGAGTACTACTCAGAGGAAAAAAACAATGGAATCTTGAAATTCGAAGGCAAATGGATGGAAATGAAGGAACCATTCTGAGAGAAGTAACCCAATCACAAAAATACAAAGAGACAAAGAGGGTTTGTACTCACTCATATATAGATCATAGACATAGAGCAAAAGATTACCAGCCCACAATTCACACTGCCAGAGAAGCTAGGTAACAAAGAGGACCCTAAGAGAGACATACATGGTCCCCCGGAGAAGGGGAAAGGGACAAGATCTCCTGAGCAAATTGGGAGCATGGAGGAAGTGGAGAGGGAGCTAGGAGAATGAGAAGGGGAGAAGAGGAGAGGTGAGGAGGACATGAGGGCGCAGAAAGGTTGAGTGGGGGGAATAACAGAAGAAAGCAAGATAAGAGATACCATAATAGAGGGAGACATTTTAGGTTTACAGAGAAATCAGGCACTAGGGAAATGCCTGGAGATCTACAAAGATGACACCAACTAACAATCTAAGCAAAAGAGGAGAGGCTACCGTAAATGCCCTCCCGATAATGAGATTGATGACTGACTTATATGCCATCCTATAGCCTTCATCCAGCAGCTGGTGGAAGTAGAAGCAGACACCCATAGCTAATCACTGAACTGAACTGGAATCCAGTTGGAGAGAAGGATGAGTGATGAGCAAAGGGGTCCAGACCAGGCTTGTAAAACCCAAAGAAACAGCTGACCTGAACAAGGGGGAGCTCTTGGTCCCCAGACTGATAGTTGGGAAACTAGCATGGGACTGTTTCAGACCCCAGGAACGTGGATGTCAGCGAGGAGACCTCAGAAATCCATGGGGCCTCCTGTAGTAGATCAGTACTTATCCCTAGCCTAGGTGTGGACTTTGGGAGCCCATTCCACATACAGTGATACTCCCTGAGACACAGGGGTGGGCCTAGACCCTATCCCAAAGGATATGACAGACTCTGAAGACCTCACCTTGCCTGGGGAGAAGAAAGGATATGTGATAGGTTGGGTTTTATTTGGGAGGGGTGGTCGGTAGGGGAGGGAGAGGGAACTGGGATTGACACATGAAACAATCTTGTTTCTAATTCAAATAAAAAATGGGAAAAAGAGAAATAAAAGAAATTCTATGTATACAATCAGTAGTGAATAAAGTCACAAATGAACAAACTTGAATACCCATCTATCATTTCTACCCCAGATGTATTCTGGGCTCTTCTACATGGTGTTTTTTTGTGGGGGATGTTTTGGTTTTGGTTTTGGTTTTGGGCTTTTTTGGCTGGTTTGTTGTTGTTATTATTGTTTTTGGTTTTTGTTTGTTTGATTTCTTTCTTTTTTTTTTTTTTGGCAACAAGAGGAAAATGTCAAAATGACATAGTCAAGGCTTCCAGCCCTGAATTCCACCAGCCATTTCATGTTCTCACAGCAACCTGCATCAGGCATAATAGTAAGTAATGGCTTTGGCACAGAAGGCATAAAATTTTTGCTTTCTGTGGCCCTAAGAAGTGTCACAGGCAGAAAAAAATGGCTTGTTTTGATTTCCTATGGATGGGCACTAACTACTGAGCCATTAGTCATAAAAAGGACGAAATTGGAATTGGGAACTTGCAAAACCCATGCCAGCTGTGACATCACAATTTCAAACCTTGTGAGTGTGGGCAGCCTAACTGATTCCTCATTGAGTTCACCAGCTGGCTTTCATCATGCAGCCAGCGCCCTCCTTCATGTTTGGCTGCTAACCCCCCGGCCCCATGCTCCCACTCCCCGGTCCTTTTCTACTTCTATGGTAATGCCTGCCAGCAAGAATCCCACCAGCTTGCTTCTGTATTCATGTTTTCTGCCCCTACCCGACTCAGGGGCAGATGTTTGTCTGCATAATACCATTCGGTTGAACACAGAGGTACTGTTTCAGTCCTGTTAATGTATGGGAAACACATGGAGCTCAATACATTTGCCAAACAGAATGTTGACTACTTCATCGTGTGATTGTGTGTGTGTGTGTGTGTGTGTGTGTGTGTGTGTGTGTGTGTGTGTGTTAGCTACTAACCTACCTGCATTTGATAAACTCACATGATTGCCCTAGTTTTTTACAATAATCTTTAGAGAATGTTACTCCTCACCCACAAGCATCTCAGAGGCCATCGCTAAATCAGTCTCATCATGTGATGGATGGGCAGAGGCCTCTCCAAGCACCCAGATGAAAGTGGTATTTCTGTACCGTCTCTGTCTATAAGACTCATGAATCTTGGTCATTCTTGGGTACACATCAGAAATTTGCTATATCCCACCAAGTTGAGAATGCATACTGCCTCTGTATGAGTCTATTCTAATGTTTATTTTTGTTCTCTGGAGAAAAGAAAAGCAGAAGGATGTGATGATAATGCAGACAGCCAATTGTCTAAATGACCAGCTTAATCTAAAATTGATTGTAAAATTTTACACATACTATTAATGCTTTTCCTAAGAGGGAACTCATTTCCTAGGTGTTGTGTTTGTATTCCATAACCGCAAACTCTGCTTTTCCAGTAGTCTAGCATTTCTACTCTCTCCTAATTCATGTAATCCAATTTCCAGATAAAACTAATACCATAGCAATTAAAAGAAAACACAAATTAAAATCCACAATACTCTACCACATACATGATTACAACATATTATTTATGTCATGTGGCTTGCAAAGCACTAGTGTATATTGCCATACTCAGAGCTGTTTGCCATCTTCTGAGTAGGCTAATATTCACATTTTACAGCTGACAAACCAAAGTGAATGAAGAAAAGTACCCAACCTTGCACCATGGTGTTATGTAAAACTGTATTAATTAACAGTAGCCAACCGTTTTTAACCTGTAATTTCACAGGGCTGAAGTTGGTAAGTGATAGCCAGAACCCAGTTCTGAGTTTCTTCATCTCACACCTCTCTGCTTGACTTCTAAGTAAATGTGATATTTTTTAATGTTACAATAAAAGTAAGAATTAGATGAGTGCTATAAAGCACTTAAAATAATATTTCTGCCAATCTGTGGCTTCAGATGAACTTCCAAATGAACTGGGTTATAGAGCTGTGAATATAGAGCCTTCCATGTTCACAAGGTAAACAGTAACAGCAAAGGAGGTAAAACAAAAATATAGCAGTATATAGGCTTCATAAAGAAGCCAAAATTTTGAGTTCAAGTAGGATAGAAGCAGCAAATTTCACGACTCACTCTCTCATTGAAATGGCACCTACATAATGGGATTCGGGCCCCTAGAACAGCAAGTAGAATGTTAGAATTGTGTGGAGAAGAAGCATAGTTACAGAGTGGCTTGAAAATGGAGTTTATTAGTTGCTTTTATGTTGGTCTTCTAGTATCTGCGATTTGCACCTTTAGTAGTAAAAAGCAGTAAACTAAAGGTTAGTTTTCTTTCAATTCCTGAGATGGGCCATTGCTTTACAATTGCACTACTGTAGTTTTCGGTTATTGTGATTCACTCATCAACTTGGAAAGTGGGTACACATGCAGGAAGGACATATAAAATTTGTAAATGAGATGCATAAATATGGCAATACACAGGAGTTATGCTACCAGCACAAACTGGGCTACAATGATATGATTGAGATCCAGCTCAAAATATATCACCACTGTTTCTGGAAGACAAAAACAGAAGCACTTCGATGACACTGCCCGGTAACAGTTTTAAGTCTAATGCTAAGTTGTTATAAAATATGACGTCATTTCACATCCCTGAGACAAAAGCAAATATTAAGCAATTTAAGTTAAATTTAATAATGAACAAAGAGGTTGGTGTTTAAGGGAATCCTCTGTTATTTTTGAATGAGCACTGCTACTTTTAAAACTGAATACAAAAACTAGAAAACAGCCTGCCTAGCTTCCTTCTCATTTTTGCAAAGAGGGCACAGCTCACCATTAGACAAAAGCAAAGGGACGTCACTTTTTCCTCAGGTGTGAGGTCTTATCTGTCAGCTCCCTGTATTAACCGTTTCCTTCATCAAAACTTGTTCCAACTGAGCAGGTAGTAATAAAACAAATTGAGTAGTTAGGGCCCATTTTCTCTCTTTGCCGTACAGACACAGGGGAGAAAACTTTCTGTGTGTCATGGAGTTAGAGCAAGAGGTTTGATTCATGTCATTAGGGAACACCACAGTGCTAGATTAAATATCAGCATCCCTCCCAAGAATGAGCCACTAAGCTTGGAAGAAAGAAAAAGGAAAAGCTTTAAGGTCCAAACAAATTTAAAAATAAGATCCCTGGGAGGTAAAAAGGCAACAAAAGAAGTAGTTGAACTAGCAAGTCTGATAAGAGACCTTGAACTTTGGCTTCAGTTCTGAGAACTTTGCAAATCACCATAGCCTGGAAGACTATTATAATGATAGCAGAATAAAATAAGAGATTGTTGGAAAGATATTATAGCCATGGAAAAAATTTAGTTATCCATGGAAGAAAAAGAGGGAAAGCAGTACTGAGAGTTCTGGGCTGGAAAAATCAAGTTGCTTGGAGAGTTTATGTGAACTTGGAACCTGAAGTATCATTGATTTTGCATCCCTAAAGATCACAAATCAATTTCATTTTTGATTAAACAATACACTCAAGGAATAAAAGAACACAAAACACTAGTGAACTTGTTGATGATTTTCATATACTGAACAAGACAAAAACTGGCAGCAAGCAGTGAGCCTTTCAGGGGTGTAACTCCTCACCTCTGTATCCCTCAATGAGTTGTCATTATCTGTCAAAAATTTTGTGACTTACTTTCCCCCACTTTCCTTGTGCAGGGGCCACACTAATCTTCTCTGTGTCTTTCCAATTTTAACATATGTGCTGCTAAAGTGAGCATGTGACCTTACTCTTTTTTATTTTATATTTATTGGCAATTTCATACATAGATACAATGTATTTAGGTAATATATACCCCTTCCAACTATTCCCAGATCCACATGCACCAGCTCCATCTTTTCCTCGCCCTCTTCTCTCTCCTCCTTTTCTCCCTTCTTCTATAGTCTGCTTTTAATCAATTAGAACTACCCACATGTATATGAGTCTATATTTGTATGACTGTGTGCTGGAGCATAGACAACCCACCACAGGCCAACATCCATAAGGATAACTGACTCTCCCCCATCCCTTTGCAGCCCTTATCTTCCCAAAGATCCTCATTTACGATTTGGAACCTAAGGATCTGCTCTGAAATCTATGATGGGGTATTAACTGGTTTGATATAGCACATCTTACACAGGCAACCACAGCTGCCATGAGTTCATTAGCACAATGGACCCATCATGTCCAGAAGACATGGCTACTTCTGAAATGTGTTATCAGTGTAAGTGTACGGCATTAACTCTCTTGAACCAGGTTTCTTCCTCTATATTTTCTTCACTCCATTCATCCAAGTGGCTCGTATCTGTTCTCATTGTGGTACGGTTTGCCACTGAGTAAACATATCATAAAATTTTTGGCCATTGTACCATTGATTTGGGCTCATTTCAGGTATGGATCATGCGTCTCTGCTTAGATGAGTGCATTCATGTTTATCTCTTGTGCTCATGAAAGGGACTGATGGGTGATGGGAAACACGAATGACTTTGGAAGTTAGTACTCATACCAATGTACTCTCAGTCAGCAAGGTATAGATGCTCTCCTCATTCTACAGCCTAGCTAAAGTCAAGCACTTTTCACCGTTCTGTGTTAGTTGTTTTGTAAATAGCTGATATTTTCAATTTAAACTAAAATCCTGCTTGATAGTGCATCCAGATATCTAGAAGAAGCAAAACAAAAGCTTTCTGAAGAAACATGCTCTCAACTCAACAACCAGAAGACAACTAAAGTAATTATTTTTGTGCCAGAGTATTGTCAGAGAAAAAAATATATATTATAAAAGGTGATGGGTTGGTTAACTGGAACTTTGAGGTGTGGAAACTAACCTTGACTGTGGCATTTGCTAATTTCCATAGTATCTATGTAGTGAATACTACTGCTTGCATGCTGCCAAGAGGACTTTCCTGAACACAGATGTGAGAAGAGATGTGAGTTCTCAGGAACCCTGTGAAGTGGCTCCAGATCACATGTGACAATGCCAATATTCAATGCACCTAATAGTTTAGCCTGAGAAAAGCTACAGGAAATCATCAAATTCACCCTTGTAGTGGGTGTGATGGTTGGTCTTCACTATCAATAGACTGCAATCAGAGACACTCAGTAACTAGAAAAGCATAGTTCTGGGCATGTCCTCGGAGATGTTTCCAGAGACAATGAACATGTATAACAGCTGGAAGGGAAACAGTATGAATGCACATGGCCCCTTCCAGTAGGCTGGGGACTGATAGAATACAAGTGCAAATAAAGAGAGCAAGCTCCATTCTTCCTGAGCAAGTGAATACATCACTTAAGGACCAGAGACTCTGGTGTCTCCAGACCTTACTCCCAGGAAGCTGTCAAGACTACAGCCTCACACTGGTGGGACACAATGGTTTGTTCTAGGGCTTCTAGCTTCTTGAACTGAGTAGTAACCCGGTAGGTCTCAGAAGTGCCAAACATGCTAGCAGCTATTGTTACACTAACCAGTCTCCAGCTTCATAAACAAGTGTAATGAATCTCTCTGTGAGTGTGTGTGTGTGTGTGTGTGTGTGTGTGTGTGTGTGTGTGTTCTGCTTCTCTAGAGAACCTCTGACCATGTAGATTCCTTCCCCCTGGGAACTAGGGACTAGCCACCAGTCCAATCAGGCACAGTTACAAATGATCGACCATAAAGACAAAGTGCAATGAACTGCCATAACCCAAACTACATTTTCTCATTGCAACTCAATAAAGATAGGAACCAGTAACAGCAGAAAGGTTCGGAATCAAAGCCATTTGAAGTTGTGAACTGATAGCATTTCTCCTTAATGGTTGCTTCTGCTCTATCAGAACAAAGTTTACTAAATATCAGACCGAACAAAATGTAATATGCTACTGTGGATGTAATTGATTCTTCTCTGGTGGGAGATGCTGGAGATCAAACTAGCCTCATGTGTGATTGATACTCGCCACTGAGCCACACCATCCCCCTCATCCAAGATTCTATGATTTTGACCCCTTGGTGGCTTTCTTATGACTGTACTGATATGCCTGTGTATTTTATATAATCCTTTGGATGATGATTCATATATATGACACAAATGCTTTTCAAAACAAAATGTAAATTACTATTTTTAGCTGGAAGTCTTGGTATTGATTTTAGAAAGGAAAGTAAGAACAAAGCATATAACATTGGGTAAAAGAAGCTATTTTCCTAGGAGAGATCCCACCACTATTATTTTGCTAATGGCCATGGTATCAAACTCCCTCTGAGTGCTTATCTTTTTTTATACACATAGACTAGTGTAGCTCCCAACACTTATCAGACAAGCTTCTTTATGGTGTAATGGTGATTAATACAGAGGCTTACATCCGGCCAAAGTGCAGAGAATGATAGAAGTGTTCAGCCTAAAGAAGGATATGATATCTATGTCACCTCCCCTCCTCCCAGGGCTCAGGGATCATCACAGTAGAGCGTAGAAAGACTGTAAGAGCCTGTGTGGATGCTATACGAAACAAGGACACAACAGAGCCACAACATCCGTGGCTGCATGTACATCTACTCAAAATCCACATTCCCAACATGGATTGGGGGAATGGGAGGACAATGTAGTCCCACCCTTAGTGAGCTGTTGGCAGTTGATGGCTACTCAGGGAGGAATAGTTGATTTTCCTCAGGACACTGATAGACTTACCCATACTCCAGCAAAAAGCCTCACACCCTTAACACCAGTGTACTAACAGCACTGAATGGACTGACTCAGTGGGTTAAAAAGAGCGTGCGTGAAGTTGGAAGGAAGAGGTGATGTGGGAGTATGGGAAGAACTGGAAGAGATTGGGGTATAGATTTATTATAAAACATTTTATATGCAAGTGTGAAATTCTCAAACAATAGAAAGAGGAGCTTTCCCTTTGCTCAATTCTCTTCATTTCCTCCTTTCATTGTATTTTTCCCATGTTGTTAATAAAAGCAGTTCTATTTTCTCAGCAGCACCCTACAAGTTGTTTTGGTGCAGCATACTTCCTTGAAAGATTAAACTGTAAAGTAAAGTTCATGGTCCCTGCCTAGTCTCAGGAAAAGTGGAGTTACAACTTCTCTACACATGATACCTTTTTCAGTTCAAATAATTCAGTAGTCTCACTCCTCCAGGTCCATTATTTTAATTTTTTGTTCACTCAATACATATTTAAATGATATGAACTTTGTGCTCAGTACATATGGCCATTGGAGATAAAATAAGAAATCTAGGGACTGGAGAGATGGCTAAGTCATTTTAGAGCCCTGGCTGCTTTTCTACAGGACCTGGGTTTGATTCCCAGCACCTACATGGTGACTCACAACTGTCTGTAATTTCAGTTCCAGCCAGGAGTCTGCTGTCCGCTTCTGCACTCATTGGGCACCACATACAATTTGTACACATACAAACATTCAGACAAAAATATTCATACCATAGAATAAATAAATAAATGTTCTTTCAAAAAAGGAAGACACATAATTCCAACTATTAGTTCACTTTGTAGCAAGAAAACACACATATTCATACATAATGTATCAAGTAAATATTTATCTAATTAACTACACATGATGCATATCCCATAAATTCCTTTTTTCATGAAAATATGCAATATAGAAAAATAGTACAAGCATTCTATTAAAATTGGTCCTAAATCTGTATTTACACAGAACTCAGCAATGTTGTCGTATAAACCAACTGATCCCTTTAGTTTCAAAATATAGCTTAGCACAGAAAAAAGTTGAAACTTGCGCTGGCTTAGAACAAGTGGAGAAAATGTTTCCTTTATAGAACATACATTGCAACAGCTTTGTGAAATATGATCAGCTAACTTTATACCTAAAAATGAAGTGCCCAGAAAAACAAATGATCCATTCTACTCAGAAATGTACTGTGCCTTTGTGACAGTTGTTCAATGGTGGTATAATCCCTCTAGCAAAAACACCAAAGGGTTGCTCTTCCCCACAAAAGGAAAAAAAAATCAATTTGCACATAGTGTTTAGTCGACTATGACCTATTTGTGTAGTGTAATTCCCAAGATATTCAGCTCACAAATGGGACCACTTGCTGGATCTGCTGGTTGGAGCCAGTCTTTTAAAAGTTGAAGAAGGAAGGCCTCTGGGGAGTTTATGTAAAAGGGAGAGACAGAATCCAATCCTTCATAACTTGCTGGCAGCCTGCCAAGGTGTGCTAGAGGAATTCAAAAACACAGATCCTGGAATGCAAGCCCATCTGGGGAGCTGGTCCGTGACAGAGTGACAGAGAAGAAGTCTTGGGGAGCTGCTGCTGCCACTGGGCATACTGCTCACACTGACACTGAACCACCCAGTAGGGAGCAGATACTGCATTGCCGTCATTTTGACTTCAAGACATCCTTGTTTCAGACACTGGGAAGGAGGGACAGGGATGAAAAATGGTTTGTCTCTTGCCTAGAAACATAAGCAAATGATTTATCTTAATTATTTTTAGATTGCAATATGTTGCCTCATATGTCAAATGTACATTAAAGAGCAATTAGCTGAAATGTCAGCATTAAACGATTCACTACTTAGCATTTCAAAAGCCAAAGCAAAAATTGATGAAAGCAAGAATCAGTGTACACCAGTATGAAAAGATGAAAGTTTCAGTAACTGCAGACACTTGTATCTGATCTGAATTTGGGATGAAGATGTCTCAAATGAGGTCTGGTAACAAAGCATGAGTGAAGTGTGTGTGTGTGTGTGTGTGTGTGTGTGTGTGTGTGTGTGTGTATGTGTGTGTGTGCATGCAT